GCGAGGATCACTTTAAGAAGAATCGTTGTCTGTTTTTAGTCGACAATTTCATCCACACAAATTTCACCTCCAACAGGTTAACCCTTAAACCCCTAGGAGTGATTGGCATGTAATTTCTCCTTACAACATCACCCCTGGATAAAACATTAAGGTCGTGTGAAGGACATTAATTGAAATGATCAACAACTTAAGACGCTCTCGATTGTTCAACAAATTCTCCTTTTCGGAACCGTAAGAAATGTAGAGAGAAAGTATGTAAAATATGCAAACTGATGTTCGGTTGTCAAGGGTTAATAAAACAGAACAAACAAAGTGAAATGTAATGTATCTTACCAGAGGCAGGCCTATCTCTATAGATCCCTCTTTACTCTTTTGTAGTTTAGTTTCTCTGGATGGAACATCCACGACAAGAGTCACGATGTTTTTACCAGTCTGTACTGATGCTTTGTCAGCTCTCTTTTGGGGTATATGAAGTGGATCATGCCTCCTTGTAACAGACTGTAGGTGTATTTTATAAGCTTGGAATTCCCTTGGTTCTGGATAGTCAGGTTCTTCTGCATCTAAGTGTAAAGGCTTTAGCCTGTCCAGTCCAACAAAAATACCAGTTGGTGATGCCCAAGAGAAAGACGGTTTTGCTGAATGACTGCCGACAGAATTTCCCTTTGCATGGTTGCTCTGGATAAGGGTCAAAAAGCAGATTGTGGCAGTTACAAAACTGGAATTGTTTGCGCAGTTGATACGATCAAGAAAATAAGTGAATCATTAAGTATTCCGATGGAAAACGTCAGGGGAATACGGGATATTGCAGATTACATTGCTGAATATTTAAAAATCAACGTGCAGTTTCTATTTGCAGATCTTAACTGATTAATGAGGCCCTCATCAATAAAAATCTGCCATGAAGAAACTGAGCATATTCGATTGTTTCGACAGAAAATAGTTTTAAAAAACCCAAATCAGCGGTAATTAATAACAACGATTTTAATATCAATGATCAAAAATGAATGAATTTGCTGCATGATAATAAATTTTGATCGTCCTTAACAACTTCCGGTTCCTGTAATTGTCCAGTCTGAGTTTTTGTGAACATGAAATGGAAGGTGGTGAAAATGATCGAAAAGGTACAAACTAGGGGCATATGAGAGTGATATCGCCGGTACAGGGACAAGAGACTGCACAGTGTTTTCGGAGATACGATGTTAAAGCAAAAATTTAAGTGGAAGATTGTTATCCAAACTCTCCGGTTTGATCTCTTTGATGCGGTCTCGCTCTCACAGATCCAATCAAATATGATACTAACTGTATTTTACTTTGATTTTCAAATTGCTTAGGATTAACCTGACTTATCACTAAAACGAAACATAAACCACTGAAGTTCTGTTTCTTTAAGATAATAAGCAGATACGGTACAACGCATAAAATTGCTCAAATTCTAGTACTGATTTGATACTGAGACCGTGATGGAAATGGGATATTGATAAATTGACCAATAAGCAAAGATGGCACAGTAATCTTTTCTGCTCGGGGAAAGATGTTTGAAATCTGATACTTAGGTAGTTTTCCCCCGCATGAACGGGCTGTCTGCCTACTTCTGTAGTTGTCATACGGATACAAATATCTTCCAAATTGTAAATTCCTAGTTCCTCAAAGTTCCTCTTATGATCTAAGAGCTACTTACACTCTTCAATTCCAAACCGAAAAAGGTTCCAGTTTCAGACGGCAATTCACCCTTGTACTTCACGATAGCACTCATAAACTCGTCATTTAAACTCCATGGGCATTCTTTAACGGAGACAAGCACTTCCGTTCCCGGCTGAAGACGTCGGCCAAATACAACCATTCCTTGCTGACTAAGTACTTGATACCTTGATTCAGGTGAGGAACAAGGCAAAAGTAAATTAGCATCTTCGTTTGAGAGTCGGGTAAATGCTTCGTTGCTGGTGGAACGTACTATTACCCTCGTCTTATGCCCTCCTTGGCAAGCAGGGTAAACAGGGACAAATGATTTCACATTAAAATCGTATGAGCTTGATAAAGTTTGCAATAACTCTCCCTGAATCAGCTCCTGAAATGGATCAAAGCGGACGATGTAGTACTCGGAGTGTTTATCTCGGGGTTTCTCCTTCTGAACATTGTCAATTTCCATTCTGCAACTTGCAGAAATAATTTCTGATTAGTCTGGTCGTACGAGATGAAAGCGAAAGTAGCTTCTCTAAGGAAAGAGATTAAGGTTCTCCTTCAGTACTTCCTACGTCGATGTTTCACTTAGTCAACCGCGTCGGGATGAGGAAGATAAGTAACTCATGAAAAGTCTCATTTACGACTTTTCTTAGAAAAACGACGGAGACTCTTATGTAACTTTCGTACTAAACAACTGCTAAGCATATACTGAGATAAGCGTATTAGCGTGACAATTCGAAAGAGCTACGACAAACAACTTTGACCTTTATGACACAATTATTGTTATTTACTGAAGCGTTTTAACGGATATAAATTTACCTTTGATTAAACATTTTGCAACTGTGCTTGATGTCAATTGACCTCAGCTGTGACTCTTGCTATGACTGCTACGATTGTCAACCATCTAAATGAACGAGTACAGTCATCTCAGCGAATAAGAAGGTGAACACTGATTTATGTTCGTGGTGTGTCCGCAACCACTTTGTGACTCATTGCCGTAAGAGATTTTCCGCTCATGGATCGTAACAGAGAATGTACACAAAGTAACGCAGTCATGAAAAAATGCTGCCCTTATGATGAATTGATAATTGCGTGAATCCAAGAGCCTTTATGGACTAACAGTGCTAGTATTGTTTTCGGGAGGTGCACATGTCCTTTAGCAAGCACAATTTCAAATAAATTTATTCGCTCCTGAAATAAAACAAGTTGTCTCCTACCTAATCTTCTGGGTTAACTTTTGTATATTACTTCTTTTCAACGAAGATATTAAGCCAAGGCAAGGAGTCAGTGAAGGATCAAACTAAAGGGGCTCTAGGCATAGTATCAAAAATTGATTGATAAAAGATTACATTCACGAGACTAAATGGTGACTTTCGTGACAGTCAGTAGAGGGTTCTCTGCGCATTCGTCATAAGTTATGATGAGGAAAAAAGTCGTTAGTGATTAGTTTAAGACGTGGTATGTTTCTCGAGTTCTTCATATTTGTCTCCAGACCTGACACACTCAGCAAGTTCAACCCTCCTACAACTCTTTCATTTTATGTTTACTTATAGTATGAGCACTCTATTCCTTTTTCTATCGTGCCGTCACCTTTTCCAGAGCTTTAAAATCAAAATTTTTCAATAATGAATAATATTGGATATACGCTTTAGACAATAAATCGGTTGCTTTTAACGTGACCAAAATTTATCCCGACGCAGAGATTGATGACTTCCTAAACTGCTGAAGGATGAATTTCAACGCGGGGCTTTTAAACTCTCATGAGTGACCAAGACAGAATTTCTCCTCACAATATCAATACAATATAATGCAAACAAGCGATGAGAATAGACGTAAATATAAAACTGGGGATCATTAGTTGATTCAAGACTAGATTCCCCAAACTAACCTCATAAGAAATGTACGGCAGACAGTAAGGAGAATTACTATTGAGATCTTGGGAGTAAAAGAGTTAATCACAGCCCCAAAACTTGGGCTATGCAAGTCTGCTGTTGCTACAAAGTTCTCAATACCATCGATACATGCAAGGAATAATTTTCTGGACCTTAACTCGTGAGATATTTTTGACCCTTGGTTTCACCCCTAAGCACGAAACAGAAAACCCTTTCAAGTGAAGCGCCCCATTCCACGAGGAAAGAAGACTGTTTTCCAGTACCATTCTCGTAACAAAACGAGTAACATCTTTCTTCATTAGACAATTTAACTAAACATATGCCCTTCGCTTTCTTATTCTTTTCACTCACATAATGTTTGCGGCATTGCACATCATCCTCGAGGGAAGCAAAACGCTTGTCGCATCCTAAGCTATACTAGCGGTTTTTCTATCTTACCGCTGAACTCTCATTGAAACGCAAATTGCGAAGCTCAGGAGTTCTGTTCCTTCTTTCTGAAAATGGAGTTCAGAAATTTATATCTAAAAGTTTACTCATCTGAGTACTCAGTTTTCTTTGCAACCCGCGGGCAACTCGTTTACATAAGAACCTTAGGAAAACGCATCTAAGTATAAGACCAAGAGTGGTAAACGAGCAGATAGTACAAAAAGAAAAAAATTTGCTGGTGGACAAATTAAAATTTATTGGACATTTTTTTTAAATTACCATAACATGTACGGATATATTACAATGTTATCAATGAATATTGACTCTTAATTCTCCTAATGACTCTTAACTAATGATTCAGTTGCACCACCCTGTATCAGTTAGTGATGAGCGTATGTGATTGAACTGAAGTACCAAGACAAAAACAAGGTTTCGCGGTAGCGGTATCAGTTTTCAAACCACCAAAAATTGCAGATAGCTCAAATACAAATCAACGACTAAGTGTCAGCAAATTTTAACTTGATACTATGTGGGAGGGAACAAATCCAAGACTGGGACGAACCATTCTGAACCTGGTTATTGGTACTATTTTAAAATCAATCCAACAAAAAGACACGTAGAGTATTGCCTTGGGTCCAAACTGAATATGCTTACACAAAATTCCTGAATAAGTTCTTTCCCCTTGGGTTTTTTTTTGTTTTCACTCGTCGTGTTTTGCAGATTGAGACTCTGGGATTGCATGTCACAGCCTAATATAACTGCTCTGCAGCTGGATAGTTATCGCTTACATTTATGCACACGGAGAAATTATTTTACTCGGTGACAATCAATTGTTCTACGGTTATGATAAAAATTTATGCACTTCTTTATAAAGCCAACGCGTACACTGCTCCTGACTGAGTATGAACGGACTCTTGGATAATTCAAAGAGTCGAGGACAACATCATTTGATGTTGACACTGTAAGATTTGTTTATATACTTTTCTAACAAAATACTTAACCCAGCTGTATGTGCGAATAAATGTTGTTGAATTTCGAAGTTTTTTTCTTAAGTCTTGCTTTCTCTTCATCCATAAACTTGACAATTGACAATGATAATGGTTTAAAAAAAACATGCCCCGACAAACTTACAACGTTTTATTGAACTCTTCCAATGTACTGATAATCTCTGTCATGTCTGGTCTTTCAATGGGATCATACCGCACACATCGGCGGACGAGGTCTTGCAATAGCTGGTCTGTCATCTGAGCGATTTGACGTTCACGGTTTTGATAATCCGGGAATGTCTGAATGCACATTTCACAGAGGAGAACACCGAAACTGTAGACATCAATCTAAAAAGCAGGACAAGAAAAGACAGTGAAATAAGATTGTTGTTTTCACAAGCTCTTTGCCGTTTGTGTAGACGGAGCAAACTTTGTCGTTTGTGTAGACTGAGCACACTTTACCGTTTGTGTAGACCCAGCACACTCTGCCGTTTGTGTAGACTGAGCATACTTTGCCGTTTGTGTAGACTGAGCACACTCTGCCGTTTTATGTAGACTGAACAAACTTTGCCGTTTTGCGTCGACCGACCACACGACTTAAGACTAAGTTACACAAATACCGTTTAATCCTTAATTGTAAAGGGTTCATGTTTTTAAAAAGTGTCTCCAAGGAATTCTGTAAGCTTATTTTCTCACCTTTGCTGTATGCTTTGCTGGTCTCTGCGCTTCAGGCGCACTGTAGGCGAAACATCCTGGGCCAATTGACATGAACCGTTCCTCAAACTTAGCAGAACCATAATCTGACACTTTGCCTCGCCACTGGCTAGCCTGTCGCCATAGCAGCACATTGCCGCTACTAACATCGCGGTGAAAAATGGGAAAAGGTTTCTTTTGGTGGAGGTAGTTCAACGCTCGAGCCACATCGAGCGAAATGACGGTGATTTCCTTGCGCGAAAGAGGTCGTTGTCCCAGTAGCTCGCGCAAATTTGATTCCATCAGCTCAGTAACAAACAATGGAATTTCCTCGTCATCAGTCGCTCCGATAAACTGTAGCAAGCAAGGGTGTCGGCATCTTGAAGCAATATCAATTTCTCTGTGGAACAAACTCAGGTTGTGAGGCGAATTAATTGCCTCATGGATTCGCTTCACAGCAACAGAACAGTCACAGTACCTGCCCTCGAAAACCTCGCCCCACCCTCCAACTCCAAGGCTTTTACCAGTCAACTGAATATCAACCCGGGAAATTACCCAATCATTGGACTGTGATCCGGTTTGATTCTCGAGGTTAACAAGCTGTTGTCGTAGATTTGCATTTTCTGCTACAATTTCTCCAAGTTGGTGCCGAAAATCTTTCCTGGGTAGTTCTTGCTCTTCCATCTGCGTTCGAACGTTTGCTAAATGCTGATCCTTTTCTCTGAGTTGTTCACGTAGCCCTTGCAACTGCATCTGAAAGTTTTCTATTTGTTGATCCCTTTCTCTAAGCTGTTCACCTAGCCTAGTAGCTTCTTCTATCATTTCTTCTCTCAGCCGTTGTTCCATTAAGTGCATCCTTATTTGCACGCGTAAGTTCTCCTCTTGTTGCTCCTTCGCAGTTAACTGATGTGCCAACTCCCTCAGTTCTTGCTCTCTCTCTCTGAGTTGTTCACGAAACTCGTTTTCTCTCATCTCATTCTCCACTGTAACCTCTCTCGATCGTTGTTCCATCTCTCTAAGTTGTCTCAATAAAGTTTCCTTTTGGTTGTTTTTTTTCTGACAATTGCTGTTCCATTCCATCCATTTGCATGCGTAAGTTCTCCTCTTTTTGCTCCTTCGCAGTTAACTGATGTGCCATCTCCCTCAGTTCTTGCTCTCTCTCTCTGATTTGTTCACGAAACTCGTTTTCTCTCATCTCATTCTCCGCTGTAACCTCTCTCGATCGTTGTTCCATCTCTCTAAGTTGTCTCAATAAAGTTTCCTTTTGGTTGTTTTTTTCTGACAATTGCTGTTCCATCCCGCTCAAATGTCTCTGACAGTCAACAGCCTGCTCCTTCCTTTCCCTAAGCTGGTCACGCAACTCATTTTCTCTTGTTTCCTTTTGTGTTAATTCTTTTTTCATCCTTTGCTCCATCTGCTCTAGGTCTGATCGTAAATTTTCTTCTTGTGCCTCTTTCTGCGTTAATCGTTGCTCAACATCTTTCAGGTTCGTTCGTAAATTCTCAACTCGATCCTCTTTCTTTTCTTTTTTTTGGTTTGAATTCTCTTCCTGTCTAATCTTCTCTTCCAGTTGTTGATTTTCTGTATTCAAGCGAGTTTTCAGGTTTAGATTTATCCCTTCCTTCTCTCGCAACTGGTCATCTTTTTCCCTGAGCTGTTCCTGTAAGTTGGATAAACGAGCTCTCGTTTCTTGTTGCTCGGTCTGGTTCTCTAGCGAAAAAAATCGACAGAATTTCTTTTACTTCTGGAAGTCAAGAAATATACCGAATTCACCACAGCACCCACTTGAGAAATTCTCGTGGGAAAAAGAAAACATAGGCATGTGTAACATGCAAGAATTATTTTTTTCAGTTGAGTAGGTCGAAATGGTACACTTTGTGTTTCTAATATTTTCATAACTTTCAGAAGAACGAAAATATCGCATTACTTCGCTTTAAGAGAAAGATAAAAAACATAATTTATGCAAACTCACACAGGTATTTTGTGGTCTATTGTCTCTACTCTCTAACTAACTCTGAGCAAAAATAAAATGCATCAGTGCCACGCTTACTATAACCGCCTTCGCAGCCGTCACTTGGTCTTGTCATTCAACGCCCTCTATTCCCCATTGAAGGGAGAGCCACTGCGTGACGAGACCAAATAACGGTTGCGAAAGAGATTTCGCTCACGAGTTAAATTAAAAATTTAAATGCGAACCTTTCATATCCCGATTATTGTCGACCTTAATCGACGAGGCTCTCGCGAAGGCCACAAACCATTACACTTAACAAATGAGCCCAAAATTTCTGCTTTATGTCATTTTTTGTGCACAGCTCCCTGATCCATGACATCATTTATAACAAAGCAATACCAAACGCTATGATTGGTGCAAGATATTCAAATGCTGTCATATGATTATGCGAGGAATATACCCTAATGAAGCAATCTGATTGGTGCGAGATAATACCCTAATGCGGCAATCTGATTGGTGCGAGATACAAATCCTGACGCGGCGATCTGATTGGTGCGAGCAACATAACACTTTATACGCAAACATAGAATTACTCTTTTTTTAATTAAAAAAAAAACAAAAAATAAACACAGTAGCACACAGCCAAAAAAAAATGTTGGCTCTCTAAACGTACTGCGTATTTACATAAGCAAGGGCTCAGCGGAAGAAGATCCTTGGCTGCATGCAAATGACCTCTATCTTAGCAAAAGTGCGTGCCAACCAGTTACTACTAACCGCGATTAGAGATTCAAAAGACTGACCGAACTAATCTCGCATTCAGATTCTACCGTTTAACCGTAACTGAAATGTGGGGACCTTTCAACTACTTGGCCGTGAAAGGTCTGGATACAAGACTATGACCGAACCAAACGGAAGTTGTCTTCAAAATGAGCTAATGCTATTAATAATAATGTTATGCATGAAAAAATTAAGCGCGTCTGATTGGCGGAAAACGAGTGAATTTTTCATGTAACACGAGTACGAATTACAGGAAGAACCAAGTTATTCCTATTTTAGCTCGTGCAGTGCTGCTCACTATAGCTTACCATTTTTAAAAAAAGTTCCACATAGTAGAGACATGTGTTGTTTATCAGGCGTACTTTCCTCTAGGAAAGGTACAGTTTACGACAGTAAGATAACAGGAATCTCTCGCACGTTTAGTTCGTGTTAAAAGCTAAAGAAAGCAGACTGGAAAAGTAGAAAAGAGTGGACTTCTTCATTGGAAAAAAAATTACACTGAACTGCTAGTGATTATGATACGGATGACGTCACTCAGATGCAAAATGAGGCAGGACTCTACTCAAGTCGAGTAGAGTACTTCCCTAAGAATCACCTCATTCTTCAAAAGAGAAGGTAATGATTAGTAGGATCGTTGAAAGAGTGAAATTCCCTTAACTTATCAGTCATTGTCAGTCAATAACAAACTTACTTTCTCATGAACACACTATTATAACATCATACAATATAGCATATATCATGGTAGCTTTAAAATAAAAATATAAAGATGGGACCAGTACATACGAGTTATTTCTAAACGCTTATTTTTGTGGAACAGCCTTCTTACAGTTGTTATAATCATTGAACAAAATCAATGGTTCTGCAGTCAGTACCATTTGATGAATTTCTGGGGACCTGCTCCTTTGCTAATCCAGCCCTTTGTCTAAGATTAACTGATTCCACAAAAAGTTCAATAATGGCATCAACTATGACCTTTGCCTGAAAGAAATAATAACACATGCTTAGAATAATTAATACTTGTGAGTACTTATGGACAATATTTGAGATTAAATGTTATGAAAATGTTTATTCGCATATATGAATTGGAGACTAAGAATTTGCAGAGAAGTCTTACAAGCCTTCAAATCAAAGTGCACTATTGTAAAGTAGATTTAAAGTATTTTTCCTCTTCAACAAGATACAATTTGCATTGTTCCCTGACAAAAATTTTTCTCCTCAATGATTTCTTTTCAACAGGAAATGCTACTCTCAGAAAGGCACAAAAACACATGCAATAAATTAACTGAAACAGGAAATTTTTGGGTAGCTCAATTTTTGAAACTTTTTTTTGCTGACTTAGAAATTCCCTTCAATTATTAAAAAATTGAATCCAAATGTCATACAGAAAAGAGAATGTGGGAAAAGGACATCAGTTTTATTTTTAGATGACTCAGAATTAATTTGTATCTCCATTTGTATTGTCATAATTTGATATGAAATACATTCCCTTGTGTATCTCTTTGAACAGTAGACAGTAGACTTGCATACCTTTTCCTTATAAAGTGTGATGACATATGTATAACTGAAACCAACTATTAGTTACTGGTTATAAGATTAGTCTGCTGTCAAGCCCATAGCCCTTGCTTCTGGAGCTTGATCCAGATGCTCATTCCACTTTCATGAGCATATGACATAACCAGGGGCACTGTATGCATCCTTACATTGGTTAAATGTTAATTCAGCCAGGGTGAGGATTAATGCTAAGTTAATTCTTTAGCAGTTTTGTAATGCCTCCATATGTTCCTCAGCAGAGAGAGACATTGCGAGTGTGAGACATCAGATCCCAATAGTAACACAACACAGTGAACAAGACATGTCTCAAACCAAGTCCATGCATCACGTCTCCTACAACAATTTTTTGTATTTCATTTAACAAAGCAAACAATTTTTTTTAGTCCCTCTTACATTTTCTGACTTCAGGGCATAAAATTTATGTCCAGTGGAACAATCAGGTTGACTGAAAACATAACCAAATATTTTCCTATCATCTGGGTCAGGAATGACAAATGTTATGCTCTTGACAGGATGCATATGCTTCACTTTCTAAAACAAAAAAAAATCAGTAAAAAAGCACTGAGATGGAAAGGGCACCTGGAGATTTCATTGAATCTTTCCCTTCTGTTGTTTAGCCCTTCCTTTGTTCAGTACTCTCCAGCTATTTTTGACTTGAGTGAATAAATGAATAAATAAGTAAATAAATAGATATTTCAACGGGTAAATTGATAAAGAAAATGTACTGTAACATGTAACAAAATATTTGAACCATATACTGCCCCTTGAAAATTCTCTTTAGTGATTAGATGGGAAAAGTGAAAGCAGTATTTTGATGAGATTTAAGAGTTAACTTATTCCTTTTTTTTTTTTTTGATAAAAAAAAAAATGGATCAATATCAGTATCTGGGCAACTGCCCACCTACCCCTCCCCTAACTCAACAACAGTCAATTGATAACAAGTTCAGGTTAATGTTGGGTTAGGGGAGGGATAGGTGGGCAGTTGCCCAGATACTGATATTAATCAAAAAAAATATATTGGATAAGATGTAGAGATAGAAATATACTGCATAGTTTTACTTGGCATCTTAATTTCCCAACTTTGGAAGAAAAAACTCCCTTTACCAAAATTTAAGTTGCACACCCATGGGTGCAGCTTATATGTCACTGTGTCTATGGTGATCACAAGGTGGTTAAATAATATTTGACTTATTTGCACACTTACTTGAGAAGTCTCATCTTCTATGCTGATACCTTCCAAACTAATAACAGTCAGTGTCACCCTCTCTTTGTGCAGCCACTTTTTCTTTGCCTGAGCCTAGTTTAAGTAACAATCATAATATTAATAATAATAATAATAAAACACAGACATCATTACCGGTCAGCATTCCAGGACTAAGAGGATTACTATGTTACCAGAGGGAAAAGCAAAAGATATTGCTGTGCATTGGGGTAAGGCGGTAGAGAAGGGGCCAAGTACCAAATTGGGCTGAATGAACGGCAGTTTATGACAAGCTTTTATGATCAATTAGGCAGTATCAATTTGCCATATTGGCAGACTTGCTTGTGGTATAATATGCGGCAATTCAGGCAGTATTATGGTGGCATGTTCAAGGAATAACAATAATAATAGCATATTATAAGTTGTGTTTTAGAAATATGACAACTTATAATTGCCATTATGGTAAAAAATAAATTTGAGCTTTGATTCAAGTTCATGAATCAACATGACTCATGAACAGATACACTGCACCTTTAATTTCCCAAAAGCCTCCGCACACATATCCATACCCTCTGGGCTAGCGACATCTGTTATCCCTACAAGCTTTGAATTAAAAGTAAACAAAACATTGTTAAAACTATTTCCAGAAACTTAGGAAAAGGGAGAATTTGACCCATAAATTGGCAATATCAGTAAAAATTGCAAGAACATTGGTCAGACCTTGCACTGAAATTTGGTCCCTTCTCCACTGGTTCCCATTTCTTTAAAAACAAGAAAAGAAGAAAAATAATTCAAATTTATTACCAGAAGCATCAATACATGAAGACTTCAATTGTATTCCAATGCACAAAAGAAAAATGAGAACACTTAAGGATTAATGCCATTAAGCACAAAGTAAATTCACCTTTAATTTGTCTGCAAATTGTCTTACACC